ACCCTGTTGTCCAGTGCTTCTTTAGTTTCAGGTTTATTTTGACGATCAGCAAGTGGTAATATGAGACTATATCAGCTCCTCTCTTGGTTCTCACATTCTGCATAGTTCTCCTGAACTTTTTATTGATACATATATGGTCAATTTGGTTCTGAGTAGTGTGGTCCGGTGAAATCCATGTAGTTTTGTGTATGCGTTTGTGTGTGAATATTGTGCCGCCAAAGACTAGTGTGCTGAAGACACTGAGGTTTGAAAATCTCTCACCGCTTTCGTTCCTTTCTCCCAGTGCATGTTGTCACATGGTATCTTCACATGTAGTGTTGTCCATGCCAACCTTGACATCTAGTTCTCCCATCAGAATCGTCAAATCCATCGATGAGTATCTCATGACGATTGACTGCAGCCTTTCGTAGAATTGATATTTATCGTCGTCATTGTAATCGTTCATAGGTGCATAGCAGTGGATGACATTCATTGTTTCCCCTCTTTCTTTGTTTTGAAGGAGGCTTTGATTCTATCCATGAGATTCTCATCCTATCAGTACTTTTTGTATTTCTTTAGGCAGCAGCCGTGTAACTGCTTGTGTATGTAGATCATTTTCTTCTTCATGGTTGGGTCTGCATCAAATATGTTTCGCCGATTCCAAGAACCTCCAAGTTGTATCTCTTCACTTCTAAAGCAACTGTAATTGTTCTGCCGATCTCCCACAATGTACGGATATTTCATATACCTATATCAATTGTTGTTGTGGTAGTGAAAAATGACGTTAGTCTCGTGACTTCCGAAGTAACTCAGCTTTCATCATAAGACGTCATAACTCTTCCAATTGAAGGTTTTTCTAACTGCCACGGAAGAGTTTAAATGGTTTTAATTATTTGTTCTGGTTAACGTGTTTTTAGCGAGTTGATTTTCTAAGGGATTAGGTGTCTAACCTTATGTCCAACCTTCCTTCTTGGGACCGGCAGGTAGAATTAGTCATGTATTCGAAAAGGTCCAATTACAATATCCCGATCAAAAGTGAAGACAGTATGATTATTCTGAAACTTTAAAAGACAGTAAACGATAAAACTGACAAAAATAATAATAGAAAAATTCTGCATGTTTATTTCATCAGAATTTTACAAGTATCTTAAGTGCAATCATATCAGTCATAGATTTCTCTCATAATGAATTCGTACAATTCAAGTCACAAACACTTTTACAAATAAAGATTTTATCGGTCCAATTTACCCTGAACATTTAAATCATATGTGTAGAGTTACTGTTGGATTTTAAGATCACCTCATGAATTTATATCAATAGAAAATATATAAATTAAAGTCAAAATATCTGTTTAGTTTCTTAAACCGTCGCATTTCAGTTATATTTACAATCTACTACATCACAACAATTCTGTTCCATTAAACAAAGTGCCATGTCCTTAAGAAAGATAAACTTCATTTAAGTTTAGATTTAAATACCAACTTCATTAGTCTCAATACATTGGAACTAGTTAATTCTACAAAAACCAATAAACAATAGCATTTACAATCACATACAGAGTTGTTTATATCACACCACTGTGTTTTAAACACTTGAAAAACTATGTCAACAGACATTATGATTCGATGATAATGATACCACTGGCAATGATAAAATTGTCTAAGAAAAAACTAACTAATTAGTCATTGTTCTCATTGTTTGGCTGTAAAATCATTTATATAAAGAAATAACAAGAGCAATGTACAAAACAACATAAAAATATTTATTATTTTACACAATATGAATGTATCAATGAAAAAACAAACAAACATTAACTTTACTTACAATCAAGAATTTCTAATGAATGGATAATTATCGTATGATGATGAGTTTTGTTTGCAAACACGTCTACGATTTACTTTTGTTTGTTTTTTCATTGATAAGAAGTCTGGCAAATTCCATATAATAATTATTTGTTAATTTTATTGAATACTTTATATTATTAAACATCAAAAGTTTATTTATTAATGACATCTTTTTTTAGTTCACCTCATTGTTAACTGTATAACTTGAATATACGTTTTAGAAAGGATTCAAAATAGAAATTTTTTATTATAATCAACCAATCTGTTCAAATACTTGACAGTTAGTTTATGATAAAGATTAATTAGTGACGAATATCAGTTACAACCTACTGTGGGAGATAACAAACCAGATTCTAGATGAGAAAGAAATCTGGAAAAAAACACTGAAGGTGTACAAGACACACAGTGCGGGAATCACTCAACTGTATCAAGAAGCAAGAACTAATTTGGAATCCTGAAGGAAAAAGGAAAAGCAATAGACCAAATAATTAATATCATTCGGACATAACCGGAAAGAATAGCCAAGGACATAGTTGGAGAATTCTGATTCGTAGCCAATGGTACACGAGGGGTAATATGTGTAAGTAAGTGTTGAATGGATACCTAGCTATTCTGATATAAATCAATTTTTGTTGAGATCATATATCTGAAATTATTGAAAACAGCTTGTCAGGATTTTTTTCATTAAGCAACCAAAATACTTAATCAATTATGATAACTGAGATTTCGTAGTATGTACACATAGGTAATCTTAGTGATGGGGATCTCTTAAATCAACGATTAGGTGAACATTAATATTTAAAAGTCGGTAAAGTTGAAAATGTGGATTATTTTGACTCCTACTCAGTGTGTGTCCCCTACTGAGGCTTTCAACTAGAATGAAACAACTGTCCAGCTTTCAAATGGTCTTCAAACTAATGTTAGTTTTTTATGAATAAATGCCGTTCTCCGTTTGAAAATAGGCTTCAAAATTCAACCAATTCTCTAAAGAGTTGAGAGGATATAATTATATCGTATGGTATATTCCAGTTATCCGCTTCTTACCATCAAATTTTACATCCAAACATTGGAAACAATTAGTAGCTGAATGATTTAGGTTGCAAAAGCTCGATTTGATCAAGTGCAAAGAATTAAATTTACTACTTCGATTTCGTTATCAATATATGATTTTTATGTATTTTGTTGATTGTACTTCTGATACCTTGTTTAGCTAGACAGCTATTCAAATGTGGTACTGTAGGTTGTGTAATGTTAATATGGAACTCCTCTACAGTGCGAATCCACAACAACTGCAGAGTTTAAATACAAGGCATCTTAAGTTTGCAGGAAATGTCTAACCTTCAAAGCACTAAGTCAATATTCACTGTGTTTCAAATTACCCCATATGCTAGCTAATGAGTTCGTCATGCTATAGACAGGTTACATGAGTTCCCATATTCCTAAACATGCAATAAGAAAAGCTGTAACCAAATGGATGGTTACAAATGCCCGTCACCTTTTGAAACACAGTTCACTTGATTATACAATCTCATAACATATCTTACACAAACAAAGTTGGATAAAAAGTGTATGGTTAACTAATTAAAAATAAAGAACGATAAAAGATAACACCAAGAATCTACTAGGCAAAAGATAGTTTATCACTAAAACTATATAAAAAAAACTAGAACAATCAAGTGATATATGTCCACTAAAATAGGAGTACGTATTTGTGCAAAACAGCTAACCATGTTTTATGTAGCCCAGTTTCTAACAATTAAATTAATTCTGATTCTACAAAAGTCAATACACTACAACCAACTGAACTTACTCTGATAATTAATTTAAAGTTAAACTTGAAATAGAGCTCAGTTGTTGTTTTTGGAATCGATTATTTAAAATATTTAACTCTGAATAATAATAATAATCCGCCTAATATGAATAGATATACATTTTTATTTGTCTCTATAATTATTCAAAAAGCAGGAGAATTATCCTCTAAATATTATTTTTAACTTGAAGTTATCTATCTTCACGTACATTAGCTAATCAATAAATACATGACTAAAACACAACAGGTTAATCAATTAAGGCCAGTTAATCCGTGGAAATCAATAGCAGGTGATTTCAGCTAGTATGGAGTATATGCAAAACTAAAGAACAAAAAAATCGGCCAGTTAATAATTAAGACTATATCCGTTTGTCAGTAACTGTCATGTGGTTATAATTCAATACACAATGATCAATACTCAGTTACAATTATATATATAATATATATATATATATATATATATATATATATATATATATATATATCGTAAAGTTTGCGATCACATTTTTGCACTAACACGAAAGAGTATGGATCCACTTCACTCATCCTATATCCCATAATTCTTGAATTCATATTTTGGTGAGAATATCTCGTAACAAACAATTAACAACTGCAAATCTTCTCTGAACCTTGACAGTTTTTGAAATTATACAACACTATTTCATTGTCTTTTATTTCAGTGATTTTTATTTTATTGAATCGTGTCTTCAAACCGTAATCTTTTCCACTACCACTAATACTGTTACTACCTCTGCTAAACTAGAATTAGGCCTGACAATCTCACTTGTCTATGCTAATTGAGTATGGCAACTTGAACTGATGCCTGTAAGTACCAAGTTTCACGTTACTACTAACTGATGAGATATGCCCACAAGCAAGTAATTTTCAGGACAGTACTCTTGTTATATGTAAATAAACCTTTGTAAAAGATGTATCAACGTGTTTCGTAACTTCTCGTAAGATTCATACACCAGAATGGAACATGAGAAAAATACCTCAAGAATCTCATCAATTTCCTATCTCAACTATTTTAATACATATAGCTAAAGTACTAAACTATAATAACATCCCAACAGAAACGTGAATATCTGATTTGTTGAAAACATACACGGTAGTCACCGTGGTGTAAAACTATTAAATTAATCAAATAGGTTTACATATAAATTGACTCTACAATATTCTAAATCAAATAATAAACAGACCGTAACAGAAACTTAACGATTGTTCCACTTACTGTACAGTACGAATTCAACACTATAAAAGATAAGTGCCATTTTGTGAGTATCTAGCCCTTTCAAATGGGTGGAAATTGAAAGCATTCGTGACGTTAGTATCATCATATGTTTATTTTCAAATAAAATAAGTCATTTAAATAAACTGCTTAATCATTGATTTATATACAAAGAAAGCGCTACAGATGTTTCTGTGAGTATACACTCAAACAAGCATTGCGATAGTGTTATTTTGACAATTTATTTTCTGTGGTTAATTATTTGTTTTCAAATAAACAAAGGCGTTTACTGCACAGATAAATGTGACGTTTGCGACAATCACCTTATTTTCACATAATCCTTTCTGATGATTAAATGAATGAAAACAGGAGACATGGAAAAATATCATTGATTTTCTCGTAAAATTAAAAAATATTGCAGATTTGAAATGATGTTTTAATTCAAAGTAACAGTTTGGATCAGATTAAGGTTATTTATTTTTTACTGGATTTCAACTCTTTGTTTTAAGAAATAAATATTTTCTGAAAATATATATATATATATACACGACACGACCTAGGCGTATGAAAGATGAAAATTTATTACAAACAAAAATTTAATATCACTTTAGTCATATCCAATAAAAAAAAGGTATTAATGACTGACAGTTTCTAAGTGAGCAGAATCAAAACAGTTATATCGTCATCAGTGGTAGAAACCATATGGAACCTGAGGAATATGAAAAAAAAAACAGTATCAAAGAATTCAGACGAGATATAACAGCAAACAAAAACAAAATTAGAGGAATAGACTGTACTTCAATAGAAAAAAAATTACTGATCACATGATGCATTGAATTCAATTCAAAGTGATATGTGAGTAAAACAGAACAAAAACAAATTGACAGAAAACAAAAATGATAAAAATTACAAAATATGAAAATAGAAAGAAAGAAAATAAAAAAGAAAAATAGAAATTCAATGTGTACAAATATATTATTATGATTATTATATATAAAAGAAAGAAAAAAAAACATGATGTAGTTGATTGCAACAAATACTAGTAAATTGAATAAATATCATCCATCATGGATTGTAATAAAAACCTATAGGATTCTTGTTTTTCATCAGATGTATCCAATGTATCTTTTAAATCAGTGTGTTGTTCTGGGCCACGACCAAAAAATCGTATCAGTTTACGATGAACACTAAAGAGAACAATGAAACAAATAATAATTAAAATTATTTAAAAGATATAAAATACATTACTGGTTACCTAGAATTCTAGATAAGTTACTAATGTAATACAAATATATGGCTACTAATGAACATCTTATAGCATATATAAGATGTCTATCTTTTAACCAAGGAATGACGTACTGCACAACGGTCCTCTCCGTGTATTACCCTATGATTGTAAAACATGGATCATGAACACAGATGAAAAGCTTAGGCTGTAGTTTTATACTGCTTGTTTTTTGTGAAGTGACCAAGTGAACGATTATAGGTTATTGGGCAAATGTGGTAAAACAGTTGATGGGGTTGTAAATCTTCACCGGATGATGTGATTGGGACATGTAATACGTATACGTAACCATAGCCTAGCTCGACGAACGATATTAACTGGAATAGGGATAATTTGAAGGGAAATCAAATGTGCCCAATTGAAGACATGGAATCACTCGATGGATTAAGTTATTGTTAGTATGAAATGTATCGGTAGATGCAGATTGCCTAATCGATATCTTTGCAATAATTGTAGTTAGTGACTGTAGTAATATGGATCGTAATCAGTTACAATGACTCAGATGCCATTCACTCTTTATGGTGTTTTAGCTTTTGAATAACAATATTCTTCTTCGCTAAACTGATCCTTCATACCGCTATTATTTATTCTTCTATGTAATTTGAATTGTTTTTAATGTCACAATTCGATAAATTAGTGCATTAAGCTAACTTATACGCTACTTCAACTTTAATAAGCGGAAAAAGACTATTTTCATTCTTTTCTCCCTTGTCCGCTAACTAGAATGAGAAGACCATGTTTGAGTAGAAGTTCAATTCAAGTTAATTAGATTATATGTCGACTTGATGACTAATAATTAAAGATTCTTACCAACTACGTAATTATGAACGAGTACAAAATTAAATAACTAATTAAAAACTGAAAATACACTGGAAGTTAATGAACAGAATTCTCTTAGAATAAATCGGTACAATGAAAACCAAATTAAATTTTACTTTCTTGTATGCATCTATATCTAGTATATTTCCGTCCAGTGTGTTAGTGCTATGTACATATGTGTCATTTGCAACAGAAAATTCATTTTAATCATCTGAAATTATCTAAATGTGTCTTCTATGAAGACACGCCAATATAGAACATTCCAATTGTCTGTGTCAAAAAAGTATGTAAAATGAGAGTTGGGACTTTGAGTGAAATTCCCAGAGAAAATTATGAAAATTGCTCGATGTTTGTTATCTTACATAGACTGAACATCGAAGGATTAATGCGCTACAAATTCACGGATAGGTATCCTGTCTCCTATATTTATACTGTCCGAAGAACAAATTGAACAGAGTAATGATGAAAGACGTTAAATTAATAACAATATAGTAGAGTAGTAAAGTAGAATTATTTTAACGATGATGCAAAGCAATAACTTCACCGATATTTCATAGTCACATAATCACAAATCTGATACACAAAATGTATCATTATAATTGGAGATTATTTGAATCAATTAAAGAGAACAATCATTATTTATTTAAACAATTCGTAAACATCGATTTGTCTTTCTAAGATGAAAAAAATATGAACTCGTTTTAATTTATTCTCATGAACAAAATATGTATATAATTGCACTTATTACCTCCTCTACAAGCTGACAAAACACAATTACATTTATTTTATATAGAAAGTTTCTTATCATAAGAAAACTCACACGTTATTTATTTCAAATTAAAATAAACGTTGAGAACAAAATTAATTTAATGAATTTAAAAAGTTCGATAAACAGAATCATCATGTGTTACTCTATTAATCTTGCAAATAGGAGTGTACTTTATATATGATGCTACCACGATTACATAGATTTATTATTTACTACTCATTGATTATACAAATAGTAAAATCTTTTAGGTTAATCAATAGGCAATTTTGTAAAATATTCAATATTCAAGAATTAATTGATGTTATAACTTAGTGATAATGAAAACCAGGTCAGAAACTAAAACCTATAGGAGTGTAAAGTAAAGACATGTTTAATGACATATTAACTGGTAACCATAACAACCTTTCAATCAAACTAACATGTAAGCAACAAGAGGAAAAAGTAAAACTAGGGCTTCCGAACTAAAGTTTGACCGGGCTTAAAGAAAAGAAATACTACTACTAAAAACAACTGTATATTTAAGTAATAACTGACTTTCAACAATCGGAAGCATTCAGAAAATGTTACAGGGAATATGTACCAATAAACTATAACAAAACTTTAGCGCAAAAAGTCATGAATTTGAGATTTAGGAATAAATCACCAAGAATTTCAAGATATTTTTAACAATGAACTGTAGTAATCTAAGATATAGTAGTCTTTAAGTAATTCATAACACAAAATATGAACAAGATATTTAGGATGTATAAACATAGTCCCATTGTTTTCTTTCACAAAAAAAGACGTCATTCATCGTTGTCAACTACAATTACAAACAGTCGCATTAGTTCTCATGTTATTGAGTTTAAATACAACAATATATTGATTGCAACTCATGGTAGCAAAGGTAGACTATGAAGATGATTTCGAGAAATTATCTGTCAAAACAATAATTAGACATAGTTTATTGTAAACCTGTCACACTAACTTCGGCTTTTTCAACAAGGTTTTATTAATAGCACTCAGCTTAAAGTTGTATGCATAAACCTGAACTTGATATGCATGAAAGACATGGACTGGATTTAAATTAGGATGAGTAGTTCTTAAACCTGAGTCTGAATCATTGAAAATTCAATGTATAAATGAAAATTTAGGTAATGAGTAGGGGACTTGCCCGGTAGGGGCGCAAAAAGCATAGTTGCATGGGAGCATTTCAAGAGTAAGAGACGACTGTTTCTACTCTTGGTTGTATTATGATGGCATTGGCAGGTTAACTAGAAGTTTATAAAGTAAGTATTTTCTCTCAAAAATACTGGGATGGTGGGTATTCAAGATTAAAATGAGTTAACTTGTGAAGTACCTAGTGTGTTTTACTTATTTCCGGCTTATTCTCAAACATGTTATAATTTAGTTCAAATGTAGTTTAAAATATCTAGTGGCTTGTAATTATAACGATTCAATAATAACATGAAAAAAGTGTATGCGGGGTGCAGGAGTCATGGATGCGCAGTGCTGAGGAGTCCCATACCAGGATGAAACGGCCGTCCAGTGCTTCCAGGTGCTAATGGTGGTCTAACAGTGATCGATTCATGGTTTCAAAAATGTGTAACTTAACAATCTTCACAACCCCGTAATGCAAAAGTGTATGAGTCAATAATATTAACTTACAAGCAAATTATGCTAGATTTTTGAATTAATTCGCCATCAGAACACCAAATCGTTGTTTTCTTTTGATTTACAATAGGATAAGAATTCATCATACATGAAGACGAGTCAATAATTGAATTATTATTATCATCATTATTTACATTAACATCGTCAATTATTTGTAAATTATTTGGTTTACAACATAAACAATTCTGTTTATGATTAGTGAATTTTCCTGATAATGTCGATTGAGTTTGTGCAACAAATCGAAAAGCGCATACTTTCATAACACTAATAAATGGAAAATTAAAAGGATTTTCTTCAGGTGTCATATGACGATTCTTTGCTATACTCATAAGATAACGAATATATTGAACTTTTGAACATTTATGCACTAAAACCAAATCTAAACAACCATCACTTAAATGTGCCCAAGGTGCAGGACCACAAACAGCTCGTGAACATCGACAACTTTGAATAAATGCATTAACTGCTAAAAAAGTACCACAAATAGTATGCCAATTTTTTGTTAAGTTACGTGAACTCCAACTTGACAATGCTCGATTATCATGTGATTGTTTTATTTTAATGTTAGAAATACTTTCTTGTTCATTCAAAACAATATTGCACGAATCAGCATTAAAATAATTTTCGCTGGAATTTTTATCTAAAGATAAAAAATACAAAAGAAATTTCTACGTAAATATTAAAACGAGTTTATTCAATTTTACATTGGTATTGAAAAAACCTATAAGAAATTTTTGCGCGAAAAATTTAAAAATTAATTCATACTTCTCTAAGTGTAATGCCTTAATATAACAAATACTCAATTTAAAAAAAATAAATCGTAGGTTTACGTTTGGCTCAGTTTGGGTAACTGAATTGTATCATTAACATATTTGAACGAAGTCCAAAATGCCTTTATCATGGATTGATCTTGGTTGGACATTATTGAAAACTAAGAAATATTGGACAGCTGTGCACTGCCTTAGTATAACAAGTTAGACGGCATGTTCTTAATTGCTGGATTGTTGAGCCGGAATCGAATAGGTTACATGTTTAACTTCAATCAAATTGTAGTTCCTCTACTGTTGATTAATTGTGACAGATAAATGAAATGAGAATTGATTTAACATCAGTAAGGCTTGTTACGTTTTATTAATTTAATTTACCGTTTTAGAAAATTATTGAAATGTTTTTAACACAAATTGATGAATTAAAACATCCAATAGATTTAATTCATGATAATATAATGCTATAATCTAGAGCAAACATTTCACATAACATAGATTATGACAATACCCAAAATATAATAAAAAAAGAAAGGTAATGTATTCAAAAAAGCCAGTTTATTCAATAAATAATGAGAAGTTTTTTCGTCAATGAGAGTATAAAATTTTTTTTTAAATGGCATGACATAGTTTCTGAAGGGTTGAAACAATTTTCGTGATAAATGATAATACTATCTCTAATTTACATAACGGATCGACATTAATCAGGCAACCATTGAAAACCAGAATAAAACAGACAAACATCTCGTTCTAGTTTAGGACACCCTAACAGAGCAATCTTCGAAGATCAACTGCGAACGAATCTATAACATTTAAGTTTTATGCCGTATCTTATGTAGTTGGAATACCAACTCGTATTCTGATGTTTAGCATACTTCTGACTTTATTCAATGTACATGGTACCGCCACTAGTATCGAACACCGATGAATGACAACTGTCTTCATGACAGTATAGTTTACTTCATGGGCCCTATTTATTCATTCTTTTTTTGGTTGTCAATAGTTCTTTATTCACTGTCGATTCATGGTGAAAACCACACAATACAAATATACTAAATGATAATGATAAGAACTAGTACAACCCCCTTAAAACCACAAAATTTCGAACGATGATGAAATAGTGAATGTAAACTTAAAATAACTTTAAACCAAACTAGCTCTATATCTTACATCTGGTGGCTTTTATTCCAGATTCAAACAACTGAAATCAAGCAAATCAGATGTTGTATTGTCATTCTTCAAGTTACGATAACATAGTGACCAACAAGTGTATACTGATAGAAAATCAGGCCCGTTTTTGAGTATCAACCATTGAGAATATATATAGTTTGAAAATTTGATATAGCCAAATTTTGTTATCATTCTTTTTAAGCTGATTTCAGATGAATTCTTAGAAAATAATGCGTTCCCAAACAAGATCAACAAAACGAATATAGAAAAAAAACAAAAACCAAATGAATAAAATAACAACCACTGCAATAACTGAAATCTAACTTACTACATATTAAATCAGGTGATTGAGCGGTACACAAATGACGAACATTAGTGTTTGATGAAATACTCAAACCTAGATCAGAATCCAATGATTTCTGATCAATAATGGTTTGTGAATTAGTTACACTTTCAGTACTAGATAATGTACTAGATAAATCACTACTGCCTTGAATATTCTGTACTGATGAATTCAACTGTAAATCGAATTCTGCTTCATTTTGATTTGTCCTAAATTTATTCTGTGAATAGTCAATAGACGACAATGATGAATTGTCGGTTTCATGATGAATATTTGATTTACAAATAGAACATCTATATGAAAATAAAATAGTATGGAAATATAAACAGAAAAACCAAAATCATATTCAATAACCAAAGATTTTCTTGGAAAAATCAATCAATATATAAAATTAAATCACTCAAACTAAATAACAATTAATTTTAACATTGCATTGAATTCATATGATGAATGAAGAAAGTTAAGTGAAGAAGTGAAAGTTGTCTAGTGGATAAATTAAAAGCAGATATATTCAATGAAGTAATTATAAAGTACAACATGCTGATATGTGATTATTTAATGCACAGAACAAAATTATCAAAACGATAAGCGAAAATTGAATGAAAATGAATAAATGATTGTACAACATCAGAATTTAAAACTCATTGCTGCTTTCAAGATTATAAATATCACAAATTGTTGTATTGAACATTAATGAAACTAAAAAAAATAGCAAACCCAGTTATCAATAAATATGATTTCTGTTATCTAGTGAATTCATAGAAATCAATATAATTAGTGATAAATTTATTAGAAAGTGAAATGAAAGAAGCATTATAAATAGTTAGATAATATATACACTAATCTATAAAATATTTAAAGCTCTAATTTCAGCCGAATGTACTACTCTTTTCTTTTTCGGATTTTTATTTATATTTTCTAAGGAATTAGAGACTTTAATAATGTATTATGATTCTTTACAAATTAAAACAAAATATTGTTAAATAGTTCTCACTATTAACTAAATTCAATTGCTAAACGACTAAAAAAAACTAACGAACATTGAACAGTTGTTTCATCTTTAACAATAAACTAAATTGTTTTCCATAATTAACCAAATAAATAATAATGGTTTGCTCATGAGTCGATGACAGTCAGTCATTCAGTTGGAACGCAGGACATACGCTCATCACTTCAAGTTGTCATACCATTAGCATAAAGAGATGAAACCGTCATTTCAAATCCAATTGTGGTAGAGTTAGTAGAAGTAGAGGAAATCAGATCAGAATTAGGAGGAAGATAAAGAATGGATGCATCTGCGTCATTGGAAACGATTTCGAGCCATGTCAATCAGTCTATAACCACCGGTTACGATTATCCCGCGAACCCCAATCAGGTAATCTACACCTACCAACATGGCCTCGTCCAGTTGTCAATGACTTCAGTGAATGGTGTTATGTTTTGGTTTTGCTGCCCACATCTTTCTTCCAACCTACTCCTACACCAGTAAACAACATCTCTCGTTGAAACTGAGATACATCCATGAAGTTCTAGTGAGAACTCGTGACTGATGGAGACATTCATGATAACTGAGTTAACAATATTATCCTGAAAACAATCAAAAACTGTCTCGAAACTCCACACATCAACACTAAATCATCACCATATGTGAGAAACGTCTCATAAAATACCAAAAGGATTTTAAAACTCTTCAAAACTGAGGTCTTTTAAAAAGTATAAGAGGCATTTCATTCTTTTTCATGTAGATGAAAAGACAACAACGAAAAAAATTACAATATCACCTACAAAATAAAACAGGATGAATTTAACAAAACGTTAAAGAATATCATACTACTAACTAAACGGGTAATTATAACACACGCATTTAGAATAAAGAGAACGCTCCAAAACGAAGATAATAAACAGTACTTATTTCTTTGAGTATCAAAGGAAAGTGATAATTACCCATTTAAATAAACATTCATGCATACATATTAGACAATCAAAATAAATTCATTAGAATGAATTTTTTTCGGCTTACCCACTGTTACAAACAATACCGTTAGATGATAGGTTGTTTGGATCTGGACATGGTAGAAAAGATATTTCACCATAATAAGATGCATGTTGTAAAAACGTCTTGAAGCCTATAAACATTAAAAAAAATCATGTAAAGAATAGGAAAGTTTCAAAACGTGAAGAATATTCGCCTTTAAAATTACACAGCATATAAAAAGTGTATGTGCAGCTAATATCAGTTAGTTAATTATAGAGTATGGACAATAAAAGTATGTAGGTGGATTGGTTCAAGTTAACACACATAGGAAATTAACAAAATAAACAGTAAAGAAATTGAAACAAATATGTTGACTTTAATGAAGTGTGAAAAAGTATGATCCGAAAATAACAAACGAACTTGTACGACATTGTATGTTTATTGCATGTATTATAGTTTGGTATCATCGAGATTTCCTCTTACTTACATCACATCACAGAAAAACTTTTGACAATGAGTGTACAAGTAATCGAGAAAATCAAACATTTTTTCATACTTAGGTAAAGGACATAAATATACCTCAAACAAATATTTAACATAGAACTGATTCGTCTTTTAAAAGCTTAAAACTACAGAATATTGAACTGTAAATGATGAAATCATGGCAAGAATGAACAACAACACAACGAACACTGTGTCGCCAAGCTATGTTTTGTGGTTTAGGAGTAGGTTGGAAGAACACTAGGAGCAGTCAAACCAAATTATAGCACAAATCCATGAAATCACTGACAAGTGGACTGAGCCGTGTTGGTAAGTGTAGACAACCTGGTTGGGGTCCGCCAGATGAAAGGTTCACTGCTAGTTTGCACTCATCTACAACATGTACCTGTGATCGTCCAGAAATCGAAGCTCACTTCAAGATTCAACCAGCATTAACTAGCTTCACAGTTCGAGACATTACTACATAGATATTCAGGCAACGACTAACCTCCTGTAGGACTGAAAAATTTACAAATGATCAATCACTGATCACTGACCGATGTCATACCTGTTTAGTCTTTAAATGTTGATTAAATTATATCGATCAAGTTGCAACCACCCAATATCTCAACGAAATCATTTAGACTAATGACCACACAGTAACTTAAGTGACAGAATCCAATTACTATTAAAGAACTATACAAGTGTGACATTAAGAGACCTTGAATGACATGGCTCAAAATTGTTTGCAATGGCGCAGGTGCATCCACTCTTTGTGTTCTCCCAAATCCTAATCTTTTGCATTCGTCAACACCTCAGCCTTTGTCTTTCTAAACCTATCTCACTGAATTATACTTTTTGAATAATATCTTCAAATCCTAATCTTCTCCATTAGCAGTAATTCTTCTACTATCTCTACCACTATGCGATTTGGATTGACATTTGCGTCTCTGTGCTAATGTGGCATAGCAACATGAACTTACTTACTTACGTACGAAGTTCTACGGTGTAACTGACTGACTGACTGACTGACTTAGTCACATTAACTAACTAACTAGTGGACATAGCTGAATATATCTTCTACTCCTGCATTACATATGACAGTTAATTTAACACTTGTATGATTTCTTAAAAAGTAGTAATTTAAGTGTTGAATCATAAGGATAAAAATGCTACTTTACTTATTCTATAATTTGTTGTAATATTTTATAACATTGGTTTATTTTCCGTGTAACATTTTAACCAGTGCAATATTGGAGTTATATTTTCAAGGATAACATCATTTCAGATCAATATGTTTGTGCTGATAAAGTGCAGAATTCGTTCAATATGACATACGTAAACTGTCACCTACTGTGACAAGTACATTCTTTATATTGGTCCACGTGAACTTCATATATGTTTCACAGTATTCTTGTGTATCCTTTCTTTAACATAATATTCATTAACTAATCAACAAGTGCGTGCGTAAGTTTCGTACATACAGGAGTGTATTTCATTTAAAAATGATGTGATTTTGGACTTGTTTTTGGGTCATGTTTTTGGAAAGTCGATAAATCTTCATTTGCATGAGTCTTTGGGCTTTCACTTCACATAATGGGAGTTGCAGTGGTTCCCGTTTCCAAGTATGAGCTGGGTGACAGCGACTACAGTATAGCCGATACATGCATAAAGGAAGCAACATGTCCATTATGAGAAAGTATAAATTTACCGATAAAATTTAACTTGACAGTCATTTTGTTCTTTCTATCATTCATTGTGACTATCCAAAGAAAACAAACTAGAATTTATAAACATTTTCAATTAATCCCAGTTAAATATTTTTACAGATCCGAATTTCATAATTGTTTCAGTGATCCATTATATTAAGACTTAATAAGATAGAGAGAATAAAAATAAGCGTTCTACATTAGACATGATATATGCTAATCGCGATTTTCTTTTAAATTCACCACAGCACTGATAAACAAAATCTTACCGGAATAGTTATATCTTTGAGGACCCATCCAACGTCGTTTATCATCATTACGCAAAAGGTCAGCATGAAATCCATAGCCTAACATTGTTAGCACATAACGAATGAATGTCCCATCATCATCCGCATGCACAGCGACAACATCCAAGCTAATATCATCACCTGTTCATCAAAATTATTTTTTTTTAAAAAGAGAAAACTGTATTTCTAGAAAGAAAACAGGAGTTCATCTTAACCTATTCAGCAATATGATTATTCGAAATAAATTTCAGAGCTCAAAACCTTGTGCACACAATAGATTATGATGAAACTGAAACATTGAATCCGTAAGTCAATCTTTTACATGATATTTACATATGGACCATAACATAAAACAAAGTTTTAGGTCATCTACGAGTGCTGAAACATTATAAATTACGTGAGATGCAATAAAATTAGGTTTCATTTCAATGATTCTCTTCATGACATGCAAGTGGCTATCTCTGAGGTTTATACGCAACAGAAACTAGAAAACCATCGATGGAAATTCAAGCAAAACATTATTATGTTTGACTAACTTCAGATATACGCTATTTAAGTTTAGTTTCTCTGGAGAGTAGGTATCGGATACTCAAATATATGAGCTAATCTAATCTAATTAATTTTTTACTATGAATTTCCCAACCTCTTTTACTTATTTGAATTGTTGTCCTTATCAACCACCTCCACATACTTATCTTGTTTGACGCATAGTTAAACAACCTTCATCGAAATGCTATATATATATATATATACATATATATATATATATATATATATATATATATATATATATATAATGTTTATATTAAAGATTCATTTTCAAAGGTTTTAAAAATTATCAATAACACCTCAAACTTAAATCAGAACACATTTGGATATAACATTAAAAAAAGAAAACATTATTCCAGGCCAACTATTCATATTGACTCATTAGGAATTTTGTCCAGTCATAGATATGAAATCTCGTTCTGTGCGAAATTTATATTCTCTGCGTCAACTCAGGTGAACTGAATTCAGAGCATGTTTTTACTGTAACTATATGTGTAACAATATTAGATGTGTGTAAATACCAGTGCATAAATGAGTGCATTTTAGTGGTGATGAAGTCAGTTTACAAGTTCTAGTACCATTATAACTATCTGATCTCAGTTATAAATTAGTTTCCAGTCCAAGTAACTTCTCCATTCTAATTTTCAGTTATCCCTAAGCCTCTGACTTTTGATTCGCAGTTGAAACTGACGAAGCAATTACACGTTTTAAATTACTTTAATTTCAATCAAAGAGCTTAAATCAATTTTCTAATTTTGAAGAAACAAGTTTATTAAATCTCCGTTAGAGCTCATCTTTACGCTGAAAACAAAACACATGTTCAAACGATGGAGTCCAGAATTGCACACTATTTAATTAATGTAAACTTTTTATCAAATAAATTATTTTATGTTATTAGTTTAGATCCAACAATGACTAAACCCAATACACATAGAATCAGTACCTCCGACCCAATCTAACTAGGTAGACACACTAACTACAACTCCTCTACCTGTTTAAACATCATTCTCTGACAGCTATTCAATTTAAAACAATTAGTCCCTTTTATAGATTTTGATAGAACAGTGAGAAGACGTAATTGATCCGAAAAATGTGATGTATTTGCGCTGCATATTTCGAACAATCTGGTCACACGTATACTTGTCAAGGCATTTTAGATGAAGATTAATAAAAGGTCAATTAAATAGCAGTTCAAATATATATAGGGTAAAATCTTTAAGCCGATATATGGCCTAGGTTAATGTGACAATTTCCAACCCTTTCTTATTCTTTCTATATTACGTTAATTTTCTCTCTCTTTCATTTATAATTATCACCTTATGCCTATGTGAACTTTTATTTAATCTTTATCTAGAATGCCTTGATAAGTATACGTGTGACCAGATTGTTCGAAATATACAGCGTAAATACATCACATTTATCAGATTAAATTACGTCTTCTCATTGTTCTATCAAAGTTATTCAATTAACATCAATTAATTATGAAATTAATCAATACATTCGAATCACAGATAATGTTTTCTCAACAATCAACACTTACCAAAAATTATGTGAAGGGCCGCAGTTACAACATCATTAGTACCATGAACAGAATATGAGGCAGCATCTGTTGAACCTATAAAACCAAGGAAAATATTAACAAGTAAATAAACACAGAAAATATTATGATTGTTGGTTTTAATGGATGCTAGATGAGTCATGGCAACAGAAAGAAGTTCTGAATCCGAGCGTTGAGCTAGCTGGCACCTGTCAGTAAGACGTTTTACTATGTACCCTTTAATCTGGTTATAGTGAGGTTTGTAGTCATAGAAGGACACCAAAAACTAACGCTGAAAACTCCGGAATTTTTTTCCTTCATTGGGCGATTTTATTACGACATTGCATGGCAGGTTGGTATTAACTTTCAATCCATAAGAGCTTCTGCTGACACTAAGAGTGCATAACAAAAAGACAGATAAAAGTAATTTGCAAAGTGGAGGTGAACAAATATAGTTTTCTCAATATTATAACCAACCAAGAAGAAACGTTGTCGAGTAAGGCAACACAGAGTTAATATCTCTGAATGTACTGTTAGACATGTTCAGCTTACGAGACGAAGTGACTGAAAAAAACAATACTTTGAATACATGAATCGTATTTGCAATTGTGAATAAAGTTAAGTCAACCCCGACAGAAGATAGCATAGTTCCATATAAACTCAAAAAGAATGAACCATTAACTAAATAATGAAGATGAGGTGGAGAGGATGGCATATACTCTTAGGAGTATATTTTTTCGATCCAGCATTTCCCATTGAAACTGTCCTTCGTGTTATCCTAGTCAAAAACATTATTTTGCAAATATGCTGAGAGACTGATCAATGACAGTCCTAAACATCAATGAAAAGATGCAGACAACCACTACAAATGAATTATATATTTATCTGTTGTTTTTTTCTTAACTAACCTGCTGGTATAACTCCAAGTCGTATTGTTGATTTTAATTCAATTTCTCCAGGTTTATGTCCTGAAAATAACGGAAGGCTGGACTTGCATCTTTCGCGTAACAATAAACCTTGAACAGCTTCCGTTAAAAATCCATCTCCACCAACACAAATTACTCTGATGAATTATGTGAGAAAAAGTAAAATATAATAAACGAACAATAATTTAAAGACATAGATCTAAAAAACCAAGAAGACTAATTAACAATTTGAAGACCTTAAACTGAATTAGTAGGTAAATAAGAGGAAAGCAATTATCGTAATCCATTAAATAAGTTGCGCACCGCGAAGTTGCAGGCTCTGAGTGAAATATTAGTAATATACTTACTAATTAAAAATGTAAACTTTTGCTCTATTATACAACATAAGTAAAACATCTCTATAAACACCAATTTAAATTGATTTCCGAAAGAAGACCGTTTACAAACTATACAATTTTACTTTGTCTTGACTTCGTGATCTAGCAGAAATTTTGTTTTCGTAATGTAGAGTCAAGTTAATACCATTGAAACATAATTTAGTTACGCTGTTACTTTTTCGTAAGGAGCAAACAGATCTCTTGTGTAAGCCAGGCTACCGTTTTTGTTTTTACAGTTGTGTTACTGATGACGCATTATAAATTGGTCATTTGATATCTTTATTATACTATTGAGCATATCGTTCTTACTCACCAATGTTCCTTGACTAAACCCAGTGGATTTTAATGAAATTATTAAAACCTAAATTCCTGTTTCAACATCAGGGTTAATTCTTAAGTGTACTTTGAATATGCATTTTTGAGTTAACAATCAACTCAACACTCAATCTGATGATATAGCCATAGGATAACCACTGAGTCTACTCTGAAAAATTTTCTGAAGACGTAGGCATCTAGTAGTGAAGTTATAACAGAGGATTAAATACACGTTGCTTTAATTGTCCCCTTCTATACGTACTAACCCGTTGAAATGTTTCTATTAAGACATTTACATTGAAAAGGCAAGTAGACAAATTTATTGTTAGATATATGAAAACCACCATTTCTGCTATAAAAGAATTAAGATCAAGTAAAGTACTATATTTGATAATCTGCTTCGATTCGGAAACCCGGGTATTATTTTAACTTGCACACAATTTTAATGTTTGTGCCGTATAAATAATCAAGTACACCTTTGTGCTAATGATTGTTTAAACATAACCTAGAAGATAGGTTATCAAGTTAACTAGAATAAAGCTTTCAGGGACGATTTTACATTTGTCATCTAGTAATATTCAAGTATACATATTTTGTACACGGCTGATTCTATGGGCAGCTATGTCACTAGATAGAATCATTGGGTTTAGTAAAATTCTGGACTAGTCACTAAGTCAAAAAGTAGTATAGTTTATGCTTTTGTGTAATGTGTTATTCAACAGACCAGAGAAATTCACAAATGACCTGTTATTGCTTTCTTCAAATTCCACTTGTCACTACACAACTACTGTTAATGTTTAAGCCTTTAAGACTTCGATTCTCGTAACATTATTTATGTAATCTGTTATTTCCAGAATGACAACATTATATGAACCCTATTTGCTTCAATCGACAAGTTGCTTCATTATACCTCCACCGTGAATTTTGAGAGTTTTAAATATATAGATTTTGTTATTAATTTCAAAATCACATTCATCAATGGCTAACTGAAAAGAGGAGTAGAGTTCATCTACTCCACTTGTATATATATATATATATATATATATATATATATATATCGATGTCCACGCATTTAACACATGTTACCAATGCTGAACCGGTTCCCATTGTGTACATGCCTTTACTCTTAATCTTCTCTTAAATGCTAAGTCTCAAAATTATGTACTTTCTTCTCTTTTACAGTACATAATTTATTCTGCTACTGCAGATATTGTTACTACTTCTACCACTCTGAGACCTGCTATAGCAATTTCATGTCATCATGCTCAAATGGTGTGCCAATTGGAACTGATGCACACATATCCCATGTTTTATGTTGCAGGTGAATGATTGACAAACTAACTGACTGGTATCAAAACAACTATTGCCTAGCTATCTTTTCGTATTCCTTGATTATTTTCAGTTTCAAATCAACAAATAAAAATCAATGAATGATATCAAGAATAAGAAATGATGTAAATCAAGTGAAAATGAGATTTTCAAAAATTGAAATAAAGCAAACTTGACCTGAATTCAAAAAAGTTATGGTCAATCAAAAAAAAAAAGTTTAACAGTAGTGAAAAAGTGGATATTGATGAATAAATTAATGACATCGTTTTGCCCTAACTTATAATCTAAAATATGACAAAACATAAATGTGAATAATTGTTTATCATTTGTAGCTAACTTCATAATCATAATTTACCAGTGAAATATTTTCTATGCAAAATATAATGGCCTACCATTCCTAATGTATAATCTTATATACTTCTTCCGTCCGTTAGTGATTCTATCTTCTAAAATCTATTCATTTTGGATTCGGTAAGTAGATTTCATTAGCAAATTATCAATTAGCCGATCATTTCATTATTTGCTGCAGTATTTTATCAAATCAAATGATTCATCATAAGATATTAAGAGAAACGTTAATTAATGAATAATAGCCACATAGAACTAATAAATTAGAGACAACGAATATAACCACATCAATAAGACTGTATGTTATAACAGAACCATGAAATTTTATTAACAGCATTGTTTATAGCTATTTAAATATGAACAATGAATACTTCAAAGGCAATATAAAAACACAATTTATTTAGTAAATACAAAATGATGAAACACTAAAAATTATTATTATTCTTATGTTATTTTTTGTTGAGTGCATGAAAATAAATAAATTATTTATGTTAGAAGGTAATAAATGCAATGAATCCTAATCTTTGTTATTGTTAATTAATAGACTAATTCACCCATTTTTTTTACTATATTCCAATAATTTTTGAATCTAGTATACTGAAATTAAAATAATTTTGTAGATAATTTTATCAAAGATTCATGTGTCAAATCAGTGGACTTAACAAGTTGAGAAAAAAGGTCTCTGTGTTATCATTAATTAAATGGTTGACTAAGACAAACTAATTACTAAAATGTCAACTGATTTACAGAGTTGAGAAATTACCACTAACTTCAACAAAATTAAAAATCTATATAATAAACACAGATATATGAATAATGATTGTGATAGGGTTTTTAATAAAGAAAGAAGCTTACCCATCATAAGAATCCAATGAGTTTTCAATAAGATAATCTCTCACATGATCTCGAGATGTTGTGACTGTATATGGTTGAAAAAAATTGGGACAGTAAAAAATATTCAATAGTACTAAGTCGCAAATCTGTTATCAAAAAAATATTTACTTATTATGTCTCATTACTATCTTTTATTTTCCCAGAGATTCACTAACTAGAAATATATGTCATTTCTTTAAATTACGAAGTAAAAATGAACTAACTCTGTCAAAATATAAGTGGTCTTGAATAATCTACAAATTTTTTCAAATAAAAAGAAACTACAAATATATGATGTGCCATATGTCCTGCTGTACGATGAAGAAGGTGAAAATTAGTACAGCCTTCTTAAAAATTTAGTGTTCTATAAAAGTATGGAAAGTAAAGCAACTGTGACAGGGGGTATATATGACAATAACTAGTGATGATGATATTAATAATAACATTTTATATAACATAAAGGTTTTTTGTGAATAATATTTATAAATATCTGACCAAACTTGGGAGTGTACTTAAAAAACTTTCTGACTGCGCACCTAAATGTTTGAATGCTTAAAATAATGATAGGGATTGAAATAGTTGAATGTACTGATCATCTCTATTGTTTTGGAAATCTGATCAAACCTGGTGGATTAGTGTCTGACAAAATCCCGGCAAAAATTTAGAAAGCTCAGTTGGTTTTTGTCGACTGAAGGGAGAGTTTACTGATCGACAGTTTACTCTGTCTTACTCTACCGATGAAAAACATAACATCTTAAAATACTTATTCTTAGGTAAATAGTATTTGATCAGAGGCGTCTTCAAAGCACTGGCCGTATAACTTAGATCTATCTAGTTTGATATTCCGAGGCTAGATGCAGGTTACTAAGAAATCACGGAAAATCAATTGACGAGTTAGTGTGTGTTTATCGACTAAGTTGGTTTGAATGTATATCACATATACACATCTGCCAACTATCTCGATGCGCAGTGACGGCTGATGCAGTAGATTGGAAGAGAGTCAGGGACAGCCAAACCAAAATATGACATCAGTACATGAAGATATCGACCGTTAAACTGAACCACACCGGTATGTGCAGATTACCTCGGGTTAAACTTGATTATCTCAACTAGTGCCTAAAGGCTTTGAATGACATGACTGATAATCGTTCCCAATGGTGTAGATGTATTCATTCTTTGTTTTCCCTAAGACCCTAAGTGTTTTGAATTCGTGTCTTTTTCTCGAATTGTACCTTGGATGCTTAATATTTTCTCTTATCCTGAATACTGCTACTGACTCCGCTGCTTTGAGATTTAACCCGACAATTTGATTTCGCTGTTTTGATAGAGTACGATAACATGGATCGATGTAGACGTGAGCTAGGTTCTACGCTGCATTTGACTGACTACCTGATAGAATGTTATTTCTGGTCTCCTGAAACAGTACTCTGAATCACATGTTGGAGCTTTTAGTGTTCGAAACTTATGTCAAATAGGACAACAGATTTACTTAGGTAGGACAATAGAGTTTCGCGCCATCGATATATGGTGCGTCACTGGAATGTGCACACAGGATTCGAGTACAGTCATCTAATTAAAGAACCGTCGCAATTTACTCTTCGCGAATGAGCGACAGCCTTCTATGGAATCCCTCCATCGGTGGCTGATGTAAATGTAATCTAGATGCGTCCAACGTTGAGACGACTTTGGAGGTCGCCAGGTCAACAGATGCTTTTCCTTATGCCTAAAGTTAGTGTTCGCTAGAAATAGGCGGTCATCTGAGCAAACTTGCAACAGACGGTCACCATTGTCTGTTCTCTGAGCCGCGATACCATAAAATCCACCTAGGTGTCTTTCCTTCTCACTTCGTCTACCTACTTGAGCAGTAAGGTCACCAGCCATTATTACTATATCAGAGCGCCTAACGTTTTGGAGGAGGTCTGAAAGCTTTCTGTAAAACTCATCTTTAACCTCGTCTGAACTGCAGTCAGTGGGGGCATAGGCAGATACGATGAAGAGGCAACGACGAGTGTCCCTATCTTTCCGAGTCCTTACTGTCCCGTTTAGTCGGATAGCGCACAAGCGACTATCTACTGGAATCCAGTCAAGGAAAGATTGTTCAGCTCTACGACTCAATGCTATGCCTACGCCAGCAAGACCCCTGGAAGCAGCATCAGGGCTACCGGATACACGAAGAGTAAATCGAGCTGCTTCTTTATTTTGACAAGGTGAAATCAGATTAATAATTTTACTAGGATCCTGTATGCGCGTTTCCGAGACGCAGCACACATCGGTGGCACGAGATTCTAAAGTCCTAGCTAATGATGCCTGTTGCCCTATTTGACACAATGTCCGTACATTAAATGCTCCAACATGTAGACTAGAACGAGGTTTCAAGAGACCAGGAATGACGTTTCGTGAACTCGCATCGTTTGCATTAGCTGTGCACTGTGATAAATGAATGTGAGTAGAGTTAGTTGTGGAGAGAAGAGAGGTATGTGTGGGTGTAGGAAGGATTTGATTTCGACCAAATTGGTCTCTCGTGCTGTTACGGGTATGAGGGCGGTTATCACTTCCGGGCTACTCACACCGTGGAAGGTTGTTTCTTGAGGGACCTGAAAAGGAAGATAGATTAGTGTTGTTCTTGGAGACCTGGGTGCGTGACCGCAGAGTCCAAGAGACAACTGCTTCAGGCCGGTCACGCACGGCCTTTTTATGAAAGGGTTTTTTGAGTATTATCTCCGCTTTTGAAAGCCCTTAGTGGGCACCCTTACCCAAGGAGACGGAAATCCGTGAGGTAGAGTGAGGTGTGACATTTGTAGGGTTGACCTTTTCTAACCCTTCCTTCCTTGTGAGAAGGCAGCATCGCTTCAGATGCTGGTTGTCCGATGGAAACACCTTACTGCTGTCACACCCCTCTGCAGTCAGCAGTACGACTTCGCCCTCAGACCTTGGGTAGCTGCTTTTAGTCTCATCGTTCTCCAATCGACCTGCCTGGCATGGTAGGACCTGCAGGAACATATATTCCAGCCAGTATAGCTCGGTTGGGTCATCACGATAGGCAAGCCCGACCACCACGTCAAGGTAGCAGCTACGGTCGGCGTAGGTATAACTGAAGTTTAAGAGCAGAACTAGCTCTCCTAGGCTGGATTCCAGTAGACAATTGCTTAAAACGCTGTACGACTAAAGTGGACAGTGAGGACTCGGAAAGATATGAAGACTAGATGTTGCCTCTTTGTTTTCTTCGCCTATGTTCCTACTGATAGTAACTCAGATAATGCAAAGGATGAGTTTTACAGAGAGAATCCTAACCTTCTTTAAAAAGCTAAGCGCTCATAGGACATAAGAAAGGATCATGATTTTAATGCTCACATCGGAAGATTAAATAAAACCGAGAGGAACAATAGTAATTTCAACCAGTATGTAAAACCAAAAGGTTAGGAAAAATCAATGGCATCCTGATAAACCAACGTAAAGACCACTTTAAAAATAAAATATACATGATACATACACTCACCAATTACTTTCGTTTGAATATTGGCTAGATAAAATAATGGTGCAACTTGGTGAGTATAAATCTGTTGTGATTTCCTTGTTCCACTGAAAGGGTTGATGAAAACCAACAAATTGCGCGGACGTAAAGGATCTGCATTAAGAGATTTATCTTCAGTTAGTATTATGTAAAAAACATGAATTTTAGACGATAAAGAAACTAGATGCACATAACATATAATTATGCATATATATTTCTACTACTAGTTAGCCGTTATGTAAACTGACGTTGAATATCAAGAACGTCAATCAACAAACCAATATTACTCATAATTCATACATCTAAAGATAGAATTCGATTAAATTGTAGAAATTCAAATATATGGTATTGTTCTATTGCAACCTGAGCTACATTTAGCATGGTGCTGATGAATATTGGATTGATACTAAAAACGAAGGACAATAATCAATAATCCATCTGCTTAGGTAGTAAATTCCCAGTAATTTACAAGTTTTACTATGGAATATGGGCTAGAAACCAAAACAAGAGAGATATGTTATGTAAACACATAGAATCGCCTGACTAAAATCTGAGTCCAAGTGTAAGGAAACCTCTTTGAGTTATACTGAATGCTAGCAAAACAAAGAATATATTTAAGAGACAACTATAAAAACGGTAAGGCGACCGAGTAAGTAATTCCCATCCCGAGGCAGTTTGGAACGATATCCAAAAAGCTGTGAAAATAACAGTGATATCTACTAGTAAGGTAAGCCATAAACTTATGGATAAAAGGCGAATTTCAGTAGCATCTACCGAACTTATAGATGATCGGAAACTCATTTCATCTGGCTCTGAACATAACGAGGACCGTAGTCAGCTTAAGCGCAGGCTGATAAAAAGCCTACTAAACGATCGCGAATAGTGGTGGGTAGCGGAGCAAAAGAGGTGAAAGAGGCGGTGGCAATAGGCAACTGTAGACAGCTGTTCAGACTTATCAAGGAAATCAATATTATAAATCTGACTGGTAGTGAGACTATCTCCGAAAAAGATAGGACAATTATTCATTTTCGATCCGAGAGGTCGGATCGAAGGGCAGAACATTTTAGGGAGCAGTTCAAGTGGCCTTCAGTCACACTGCCGTTACCTCCAACCTCCAATCAATCAGAATAGCAAGTTTGACGACTCTTAATGAGGTTGAAAAAGCTATGGGTAATCTGAAGCAATGGGGAGCAGTGGGTCATGATGGGTTATCCCTGAGATTTTAAAGAATGGTGGTCCAGTTTTAAGAGTTGTATTAACTCAGAGCTTAGGCAGAATCTGGAAACTGCACGTAATCCCATCCAACTGGTCTGAATCACTGACTGTCCCAGTCTAAAAAAAAAGGACAAAAGTCCTCTTGTGACAAACACAGAGGAAGAAGTCTACCTAATATAGTGTCTGGAATATTAACCTCGATTATACTCACATGCCTAACTAGAGCTCGTGAATAACAAATTAGAGAAAACCAAGATGGTTTTCGACATGGATGTGGCTGTATAGACCATACATTCACACTTCATCAGGTCCTAGAACGTAGACACACGTTCACGAGTCCCACAATAGTAGCGTTTCTCGACCTAAAGGCGGCATTTGACTCTGTGGATCGTGAGGTTCTATCACAGTGTCTGTCAATGAAAGGAATACTAAAGAACTACATTCACCTTATGCAGGATCTATACTCGAACACTACAGATCAGGTTATAGCTTAGGGCGAACTGTCATCAGAATTGATTACTTCAAGTAGTGTTAGACAGGGCAGTCCACTTCCTCGATTCTTATTTAACTTTATCACGAATATGCTTAAACACTTTCGTCCTCTAACTTCACAGGCGTTGACCTTCTACCTCGGGACTCATTTGTTGACATATCTGGTAAAGAAACCAACAAACTGAAGGCTTTTGACGACTTCAAGCATCATTTCAAGCATGTTTGGGATGCAAATCTCCCCATCGAAATGCAAAGTATTGCTTCAGTCAGTCAGTCAGTTGCAACGTAGAACTTCGTACGTAAGCACATCACTTCAGGTTGCCATACCACATCAGCACAGAGACGCAAATGTCAGTTCAAATCCAAGAGAGACAGCGATAGTAGAAGTATAAGCAGTAATGGAGAAGATTAGGGAGCGAAGATATGATTCAAGAAGTATAATTCAGTGAGTTAAATTTAGAAACAGAAAGATAGAGATTATGAGGAATTCAGGTTAGAATTAGAGAGAACACGAAGAGTGGATGCAACTGCGCCATTGAAAACGATTCTGAGCCATGTCGTTCAAGGTCTCTAACCATTGGTGACTTTGATCTTGCAGACCCGAACCGCGTAGTCGACAACTACCAACATGGCTAAGTCCACTTGTCAATGTCTTCATGCATTTCTGCCACATTTTGGATTGGCCACCCCTAGCTTTCTTCCAATCTACTCCTACACTGCAAAACATAGCTCGTCGCGGCAGTCGGTAGTTAGCCATACGTAACACGTCCCAACCACCTCAACTGATGAAGTTTCAATGCTTCACCTATTGATTAGCCATCCCTACCTAGAACTCGTTTCCTAACGACAGCATTGCTTACATGGTTGTCCCAAGATACACGAGCAATGCTTCGGAGACATCGGTGATCGAAGACTAGCAACCTACGAACATCTTCTACTCTTAAAGGCCATGTTTCGCATCCGTACAGTAGGACGGAGCGAACTGCTGCACAGTACACTCGTCACCCGACCAGTAGTTTTAGAGTAGAGAGCTCGTATAAGGTTAATGTACTTCTTTGGTACACCTTTCAGTGACAGACACTACCACAGAACCTCACGATCCACAGGATAGAATGCCTCGAATATCTTCTACTCTTACTGGCCGTGATTCCCATCAGTAAATTAGGACGCAGCGAACTAGTGCACAGTGCACCCGTCCTTTGATTAGCAAACGGATAACTCGCCTACACCATAAATAAAGTAAGTCTGCAACAGTTAGTCGGGTCTTCTCTATCCGCGCTGATATTTCATCAGTCACCAGACCATCAGAACTAATGAAACTCCCAAGATAAGTGAAGCTGTCAACACGCTCAACTACTTTACATTCTATCACTAGTTTAGGCACCGATGTACGCTAAACCTGAAGCAACATTTTGCATTTCGAAGGGGAGTGCAGATTCTGCAATTTACGACCTACGTTTTGATCACTAACACCGTCCAGGGTCGTTCTGGGACTACCGCTGGTCCAAATCCCGTATGAAGAAGGAGGGTTGGGAGTAGGGTTGGCAACCCCATCGCGTAGAATACTAAATCGAAAAAAACGCTAACCAGGAAAAATAATTCAAACCATTTAAACTCTGTCCTAGGAAATAAGTCTTCATTCAGAAGAGTTATGACGTTTTATGATGTAAGCCGAGCTCCTTCAGAATTCACGAGGCCGATGTCCTTTCTGACAACCAGAACCCTTCCACGAGGTGGATAGCTGGGAAGTAACCTCCCTCATACCCGTAACACCATAGGAGACCAAATCGGTCACAATCAGTCCCTTCTCGGACCCCCTAATATCTCTTTTACCTCCACGACTAACTCTTTCTACATTCCTTTATCGAACGATTCGAGTTCACGAAACATTATTCTTGGTCTCTTAAAATCCCGTCCTAAAGTACATATTGGAGCTTCTATTGTTCAAACCTTATACCAAATAGGACAACAGGCTTCCTTAGCTACGATTTTAAAATCTCAAACTATTGATGTATGCTGCATCTCCGGAACACGCATACAGGATCGGAATAGAATCATTAATTTGACCTCACCGTTTCTAGATAAAGAACCAACTCTGTTTACACTGTGTATCTGGAAGTCCTGATGCTGCTTCCCGCGGCCTCGCTGATGCAGGTATAACATCGAGTACTAGGGTAGAACTAGCTATCTGGATTCCAGCAGATAGTTATTTGTGCGCTGTGCGAATAAACAGGACATTAAGGACTCGGAAAGATAGGAACACTCTTCGTCGTATCTGCCCACGCTCCCAATGACTGTAGCTTAGAGAAGAGATAAAAGATGAGTTATACAGAAATCTTTCGGATCTCCTTCAAAACGTTAGGCGCTTGATGTAGCAATAAAGGGCTGATTACTTGCGGTCTCTTTCCTATGTCCACTAAGCCGCAAACAAATACGCGCTCGCACTAGAGCATGATCTGAATCTAAACATGTGCCGCAGAACGAGTGGCGGTCTTCTACCGAGCCCCTCGATCGGTGGCTGGTGACAATGCGATCTAGTGTGGTACAGCATTAGGACGACTTTTAGAGTTAAATGTCGAAAGATGTTTTTCCATGCGCTTAAAGTTGGTATTTGCTATAAATAAGCGGTTATTTGAGCATAACTGCAATAGACGGTCACCATTATCTGTCCGATCAGCCGGTTGTAAATTTCGAAATCTTAACTAAGTAACTACCGTACACCTGTCTCATAAACTAGCTGCAACCACCTTGATTTTTAGGCTCAGTAATGAACCAAAATATCTTACGCACTGTTTTCATGAAAGCACCCTAGCTGGGGTGCACCCATCTTCAGTCGAGGATAAAATACAAGCGGACTTCACGTCAATTTTTCTTAAAAACTAAAAGGTTATTATTCTCCTACATATGACAAGTGATCAAGTATTTCAGTCATGGCGAATAATCAAGCGATTATTTAACAATTACAAATCTAAAAGTAACCCAAAATGCTTTTAAAATGGAATGAAAACCGAAATTTAGTACCGAACCATTAGCGTTCAACAATTATTGACTTTTTTGTTCATAAGTTTAGCACTAACTTACTCGTTTTCCACACGCTGCTATTCAAAAATTCCACCCAGTCTGATGCTTGTTGGTCGCAGACACAGTAAAACGTAGTGCAACAGACTCCCCAACTGTACTTCTTTGCTTGTGTGATACTCCAGATAGTGAATCCATATAAATGTCTAGCCTCCTTTTTCTGAAGTGGCCCAGGTAAGTCAGTGAGCCACCTCAAGCCATTGACATCTGACAGGGAAGTTGTCCCAATAATGTTTTTAAAACTTACTGGAAAAGAATAATAATTTAATATGGCATACTCTGTTTAATTACTGTACCGAATTCTGATCCACTTTGACTCTTCCATAGTATTTCATTCTTTGTAACTCCTATAATACATGGGAAAAGACTATTGTCCCTAAGACGATGAAGCGATCCAACATTTATACTCATTTACGACTAAATAAGTGTCGAATAGTTGGGAGTTGAAATAAATAGTATGTATTATCCTTTAACGATGACATTGAGGGTTAAGCTGAAAAGTTATGACTGTTTGTTTGGATCTACCAGTCACTAACATTTACTGATGAACAACCAAGAAATTAAAATTTTTCTCACTAAGTCCACGATAGGACGCAGCTACCCAAAATAAAAATATGCATGCATGAGAATGGAAAATATATACATGTTTATGAAATAATCTGAAGGTATAAATGTTTCACGACAGATTTGTGCCACAAAAAATGAAACACCCAAGTTTTAAGGATCCTTCATCAAATAAAAAATATCTTTCTCAAGAAAGAGAATAAACCGACTGATCTATTTGCATCCGTTTCTTGCTGTTTCGATTCCAGGAATTCGGTAATGACCGATGAGGTAGCGCTTGCTTTGAGAATGAACCAAGCTCGACCTACAATACTGGAACCCCAAGCAGAATATTTAAACAAGTCACTCATTAAAGTCTAAGTTTTAGTGTCCGGAAAACATTCTTGATAATATTAGATTAGGATTTCTGACCTACAACTTCTAGAGCTGAGAAGTAAAACAAGTTCAAGTACTGTGCTGCAGTAAAAAGATTCCTAAAATAATTAGTTCTGTAAGTCTTAAGCATTGTTGCTGACCTTATTAGTTTTGGTGAACACGCCCAAGTGAAGACTCCCGGTCACACATCCGCTTCAGATCTCTGTGTATGGCCTCGCAGACCTCCTAGCATTTACAAGAAACAATCCAGTTTTTGATACCAGAATTAATTAATCATACTCGAAGATATAAATGTCACCTCTATTCATCGGCTGACAATCTGAACACTAATTCAGGCAAACATAATCATTCCGCGTCTGGAACACTGTGCGATAGGTCTAGCTGTCTCGATCAACTGCTTTCTTCTGTACCATACACATATTCATCTACTAGCAAACACAGGACTTACGGAAAAGTTAGTGGATCCACGCCATGATGCCTACTAGGACAGTCAAAGCAAACATTGCAATTTTGAAGGGCTTCTAGGTTCCATTTTTTCGTAGTTATATTTGACATTACGATTTTCCTTCCTCGGAAACTCCTATGGCGCATATTTTCTCCTCTAATTATGTCGTTTTTCCATCTCTAAATCTATCATCATGTTTAGTAATAAGATTGCTACCACTTCTTACACTATATCAACTGTGAAAACTAGTTGAGGCATAATATTGAGTCACAAATCGCAGTAGTGAGCTAAATATTTGAGAGAAAACTCCAAATGTCGCTTGATTGAGTACCTCAGAGTAATGTTCAGAATTCGGACCACTCGACCCAAACACCTACACTGGGTCCCCATCATAGAAACCAAGTCGACACTCTTCAGATTCTTACTCCCAGAAAAACCGGTAGTCAAAGTGAGAGTGGTAGATAAAGGCGCTCTAAGCCTCAACCGACACATTCTATCGTTCAGAAATCGCGCAAGGATCACGGTATCGCCTGCTGGATACCACTCATAACCACTGACTATGCTTTTTAATCCAACTTCGGTAGTACAAGGGTCGATTGTCATCTGGCATATCTGTCCACGGTACAGAATAAGTGAGGCGACGAAAAAGTTAGCAATTGCGAAGCCACAGGCCCACACAAATCAACCCGCAAATCTTAACAGGTTAACCTAAACCGCCCAGCACTAAACCATTGAAACAGGCGACAGAAATAGCCATAATTCCCAGCCGAAATTGTCGTCCTTTCAAAAGTCGGAATGCCTCCAAAAGGAAACCCCATCAAATCATGGTAACTTTGGGCTCGGTGCAACTTGTAGTGGAGTTCCTTATCACATCCTAGAGATATTTGTTTAAGTTTCCCTCCCGATCCGAGTCAGGCATGATAAACCGAGGTCAGTACGAGCATCGTTCGGGACACCACAGGGCACACCAGATAAAACCAGTATGGTAGTTCGTGGCATGCACGAGCTGACTGATGGTAACCTGGACGAAAATAATGCCCATGACGACTATCATGTAGAAAGGACCTTCAAACCACCGCGGCGAATAGCATTTCCCGGCTCCCTGATCGGTCTCATTTCATGACCGTCATTGCACCAAGTCTGATGGCTATATGCTTCGGAAATCAAAAAGACATGACTGAGGCCCTTCAGGCTTTATACAGCTTGAAGAACGATTTCAGTGGCCATATACGATGTTGCGAAAGCCGACTTAGAACTTCGAGATAGCAACAGGGAAGTCAAAATAATCGCACACAAATGACGGTTGACCCCCATCAACAATCCACGGCACAAGACACAAAGATAATAATCTCGCCGGTTGAAAGCGCTGCATGGGCAAAAAACACAGAGAGTCCAGTTCCCACATAATTGTTCAACTCCTTTTGAACAACTTAATGGAAAATCTGACAACGGCTGATGCTGCAGAGGTACACTAGTTGATGGGGCCAACCAGCAAGCGCCTCCGTAGCAAAGTAAGAGGACTGAGAAGCAGGCTGTTAGAAATCAGGGATGTGTGCTACCAGACGTATCTGAAAATCATAGTTCTAACTGAAATATGGCAATTCCCCAACATTGCAGACGGTCAAGTGAGCTTGCAAGGCATGATACTCTTGCGAAGCGATAGGATACTTCAGATAGGAGACAGATAGCTGTTTAAAAGCAGTGAGACCATACAAAACCCAACCAAACAAGGTGACGGAATCATGTTGATGCTGTTTCCGCACACATGGCGCGAAATACTAGATCTAAATGATTTACCTGCCCTCCTCAGGTACCAAGGCCCATAAATATAAACTGATTGAGCCAACACTTGAACTGCCACTGCTTGGGTTTGATCAAATACTCTTAGGTGGAGATTTCAACACCCCATCTTTAAACCTCAGCAAACAAAGTACAACTCCCATTGGATGATCCAAAGACGCTTCATGCAGACTTTAGAAGCTCTGGTCTGACTGAGGATGTATGCAGAGCCAATAGATAGAGTAAGGAGGTAAAATCCTCGAACTTTGATAATTGTTAACGAGTGATCAGCTCCTGGTCGTAGAAACTCATGTACATATATCAAGAGGAAGTGGTGACCTTGGCACAGTCTTGTTTAGCATGGTCATGAACAAAACACACGGACAGGAAGAAAACGGGCCCTACATTTCCTACATTAGGGTGAATTACACGCGCAGGAGAGAGAATCCTCTATATGCTTCATGGCCATAGGAATGGTCGAGGCTGGCAGTAATAATCACTGGTAAACAGAGAGTTACATCATCCAGAATTCTGTCGTAGAAAATGTACGTCATTCACACCAAACACTCGAAAAGAGAACATGATTAGGTGCGGCACTGAACGCTTGCTACAGAAGAGCCTGGCACAAGAGGATAGTCTCGTTGAACGATTCCGATCGTAGTTCTTACCTGACACTGAGAAACAGATGCAACACTAAAGTTTGAAGTGATAAGAGACGCTCTCAGATGAAACCAGCTGCCCAAATACAGGCAAGTATCTGTTTAGGTTCATGACAATAAGAAAACATATGTATCAGGGTGTTTTCCCTCAAAGGTCCAAAGGGAGAAGATTTTATCAACCCAGAGATGGCTGAGATCTTCACCACCAACTTCACGGATTAATTAAATGAAGTATCCGCATGTTCAGAGCACTATTCAAACCCAATGCCAGCTAACGGCTTAGGGAACATCCGTATTACTGCTGAGAGGACTAAAATCCTAGAGACCAGGAAAGTCACCAGGTTGTGACAATATTCGCCTTATGGTCTTAAAACAATGTGTAGAAGCCCTCAGTTCACCGATATGTCAAGTAATTCACTGCAATCACACCAACTACCATTGCAATGGAAACAAGCTACTCTCTCTCCAATCTTCAAAGGATGAAATAAGAAGGATCCAGCCTATTACAGACCAGTAGCATTACTACGGACACTGTCAAAGGTAATGGAAGGGCTGATGAATAAACAGATGGGGCAGTAGATGAATAAGAATAAAATACTTCATGGAGCTCAACATTGGTTTCGGAAAGGTAGGTCATGTGCATCTAATATTCTCATAGCATGGGACAGTTAGAGAGCCTGCTTGGACCGAAAAACACCGGTACACATAATATTTCTTGACTCTGCAAAAGCCTTTGACAGAGCACCATATGCGCTCATAACTGCGAAGGTTGCGGAAATGTGATTTACTGACCCATCCATATCTTTACTCAGAAACTACCCTGAGAATAGGAAGTTCCGTTTTCTACCCACCAGCTTGAACTATTTAGGAGACGCAGCCAAGGAAAATGCAACTCTTCACTTTATGCAAACACGACTTGGTGCCATCACCCTTGAATTATTCCTAAATCTGTATAAGAAATATACACGCTCACACCCTGAAGTTCACAACGTCGTCGCACGCCCTCTCCTTAAAAGAGAAATAAATCGAGTGAGGAGACGAGCAGCGAAATAGCTGATAGGGTTGAAAGATAAAACTTACGAGGATAGACTCTAGTAATTGAGATTATCCCTCCTGAGTTACGGAAGAATCAGAGGTGAACTGATTATGGCGTACAACATATCAAGCAAGCATAACAATCCCAACATGAGCATCTTACAAATTCATCACCACCACGCCTCTCGAGGCAATCCTCGAAAATTTTTTCTTCAGAGAGCGAAAACTCATTAGGAGTCGTTGCAACTTGGAATGCTCTCCAGCCGAGATGATCACAGATTTCTCAGTGGACAGCTTTAAGAAAAGACTCTATAAACATATACTCACATACGAATTATCTTCTTCGTGGACTGGCTGCATCGGGTGCATGTCTTGAAACCTGCTAGCTGTTGTTATTGCCATCTTAGATAACTAACTAACATAATCTATCTCGTTTATCATAAATGTTTCTTTCTTTATTGCTTACATTTCGGTCCTCTCACAAAATCTCCACAACAAATAATTTAACTAATTGATTCATTTATTTAGTTGTTCTGAAATCCTCTTCTTTCCTGCATTAGACTTCTCTCCTCATTGTTCCTCATGTTGCAGCTAACTGATCTTCGGTCTGGTAATGTGATAGCTGCTGGTATTCAGAAACCCTACTGCCCTGAAACAAGCGTATTCATTAGATCTCCGAAATACCCATTTCTGATGTTTTTTCTGTTGAATAACCACCTCAATTAAACGAAAACAAAAGTAATGATTTCTAAAGTGGTTCTTAACTCATCAGAACAGTCGCGAAGATAAAAAATCCCTTTACGAAGAGCTTCTCGAAAGAGATCTATCGCTGGTCCGCGAGAAACAGATAGCCCGAATGGGTGTTGCTATCAAAACACGGCAAAATTCCCAAAAAGTGTAGGAAACACTTAGATTTTCCTGGCCCGAAGTCCTCTGCCATATACATTCATCAGCACGCATTCATGGAAACCGCTGCCTCTGGAAAAGGCCGTATTCTCAATATTACTTATGTGGT